TATATATATTATATATATTATATATATTATATATATTATATATATTATATATATATTATATATGATTCTATATATTATATATATTATATGTACTATATGTACTATATATACTATATATATAGTATATATATAGTATATATTATATATATTATATATTGTATATAATATGTAATATACAATATATAATATATTATATGCAAAAACCTATGTAAACATATAAACACTTTTTTCCAAGTCAAAGTACCAAACATACCTTAGGTCAAGCGACTGTGGCGCGAAGTCCATTTCGAAATGAACACATTCAAAATATCTCAGGGTCGGAGTACTTTTGGAAGTTGAGGCATTGAAAAAGTACACGTGGCTGTCGTGGAAATCACATTTCCAAGTTAAAATATTAAAAATGCATCATATTGTACTACTCTTGGACGTCTATGTGCTGTTTGGTGCAGGCACAATGAAATATGTAGAGTCACGGCATTAAGTCGTCTTGATTTTGGTGTTTTCAGTTGATTATCTGGAGCGGAGCTTCGCAGGGGGGCCGTAATTAATTTTCGTTATTTAACGGCTGCCGCCGCTGGCGCCGACCCCGGAGAAGAGGGAAGAAGAAGGGAGATTAACATTCATTTGCGAACTATTGTGGAGTGAACCGAGGGGTATATACCATGGTTTCGACTCGCACTTATGATCATGGAACATATTCATTTTTTCCCAGGCACTCTTCTCCCCATCGCCCTTAAGATCGCATGTTTTTCCCTTGGTCAGTGGGGCTGGTGTGACTGGAGTTATGTGTTGCTGTATAGTGCACTTGTCTCATATCAGACCCAGAACCAGATGGACAAGTTGTGCAAAACCACATATGCTGCTTGGTATCAGGGACGCTTGGTTAAGTTTACAGCTTCCCGAAAGGTTGATTTTAGGATGTTGGGTAATCCCTGAAAGTAGGACCTTAAAAAGGGATCTTATGATCTGAACAAGGTTGAGTTTATTGGATCTCTACCGAGTCATTTCGTGAAGTTGTTCTCTGTGGAGAGGGTAGGATTCTGACTTCAGGAGGTCTCCTCAGTGATGTGGTGGATTTTGGCTGATGCTTAGCCTGGGGCATACTATGCTTGGCGGTGATTGATTATTGTACCCAACCCTTTTCAAACATACTCTTACCGAATCAGAACATCATATGTAGGACATCCGCTATCAATGGTGTGTTAATGTAGAAATCATCCAACTAAATGGTGGAACATCTGGAATTTTGCGCCGCGTCTATGGCGATGCAGGCGTGCGCCGAGATCGCGGGTTGTCTGGCCGAATTTTGGGGGTTCACATAGCCATTGTATCATGGAAACATGAATGATGCATAGTAGCCAGTTATGGTTATGTATTTTGTAAAAAATGACGATTTTATCACGTTTTTCACAATTTTCCAAAGATGGGAATCACCATTTTTCCAAAAGCTCCAGGTGGCTGTGGGTCTTGCGTCGAAATCGGCACAGGATCGGATCCTCTGCCGGCGGTGGCAGATCGATTGGCCTATCTGTGGAACAGGAAGGCAGCGATCCCAGCGATTGGCGATCCACAAAAAAAAGGTGAAAATCAGCGATTCTTTAGGTGGATCTAGGTTTCTGACGCTGCTGCAATAGCGGTTTTTTCGGATCAAGTCCCCCTTCCCAGGCCATCGAGTCTGGTCACAATCTCTGGCACCTTGCCGAGTGGCACTCAACAGGCGGCTTCGGGATCCGAATTTCCTGAAAAATGGAGAGATTCTGTGGAGAGATTTGATGGGAATACTCTATATGATGGAATGGGAGACTTCGTGAGATATAGACAGAACCGAGTGAAAGATGGCAACCCTCGCTGGCGTTACCTGGAATTTTAATGGTTTATAAATGTTCACATTTGAGGGATCATTCTAAACATGGCCAACCTTTGCAGTGTGATGAAATATTTCCATCTTTTCGCAGATTGAAGGCTCTTTGTAAAGCCAATCGCTGGAAGTTGGGTGCTCCCCCACCCGGCGCAGCAGAGAAGAAAAGATGGAAGACACAGACATCAACCATCCGAATCTTATCAACAGAAGGGTCTTTTGGAGATGGGTCAAGTTACCGTTGAAATTGCCATATTTCATGGAATAACGCTCCTTCAACCAGTTATGACAAACGGGTACCGTTTGAAACGACCCAGGACGGGATGTTGGCCTTTTGGCTGAGCCTGGACGATTGTCTTTGTGACTACAACGAGAGCCTCGAGTGGTTCCAGGTATGTGTTGGGCTTGGAGCAACAGCAACAAAACTTGGGTAAGTCAAGAAAACCATATAGAAATCCATTTCAGTGTTCTCCTTTGAACAAAGATCTACATTCATGGTCCTCGAGTCCTGCATATCTAAGAAGATTGACTAGAGGGTATATAAGAGTTGATGCTTGGTAGACCTCTCCACCCTGCAACAGTATCCACCATCGTTATCGCAAATTTGAGTATGCAGAGTAATCCATTCCGTCTAATGTTTAACACCCCTCAGACTGTTCATGGTTTATATAGTAGAGGATGTACAATGTACACATATTTGGGACTAGGAGGTTTAATGTTGGTGGGATGGGATTATACTGAGTAAGAAGGCGTTTGCTTGCCTTCACAAGCCTCAAGGTAATCTGCATGGGGGGATACCCAGAGGAATTTTATGTACCTCGCAGAAAGTCAGCAACGGGCTCCTGAATCAGCACATGCAAGCAGGCAATTGTCGAGCAAGCGTTGCGAGACAAGGGTCAAGATTGGCAACTTGATGGAAGAATGGACATTCCGCAACGGGGATGTGGCCGAATGCTCCAGCCCGGGTCATGCATGGCGGAATCTTTAATTATTTTTCAAAAAAATCACTACTGGTACCTTCTGGAAATTTGTTACATAGCGGGGGAAATGACCCATTTATAGATAATTTCCCAGCTATAAACCTCCATCGATTTCCTAGGCCCATTGAACATGGTGGCTTTTTTATTTTTTTTGGTATGTCAATTGCCAGATAGTTCATGCCATACCCCCTGAAAATGGTGGCTCTTTGAGCCAAAAACCTCTGCGGGGGAACAAGCACCTAGTCCGATCCGGAAGACCTCAAGGACTGGAAGTGGGCAATTTTTACAAGACCTCAGTACATAGTTGGATGCCATGTCCCGCACATCCTGCACTTTCGCCAGGAAAGCTGGGCTGAAAGAGCAAGGCTATTCCATGCTGGCCAACAAGTGGGGACCCTGGGACCGGGGGGACCGTTTTGGGATCGGCTCATCCCTTTCAACCTGTTTCGGATCAGGCCCAACTTCAGGGGCTTGGCGTTGCTGTTCTTGCCCTTTGATGCGGCGCGAAAGCTGAGGCGCTGAAAGTGGAACTTCAGTTGATGATTGATGATAATTAATTAGGAAAAAAAAGGTGGCTAATGATGGCAAATCATGGTTTTGATTTCATGATTACTAGTGGGTTGATGATAAGCAACAAAACTAATTATATCAAAGACATATATAACATTATATAACACTAAGCTTGGGAAGATTTTCATGCCCACATGATGCCAATTTTCAGCGAAACTTTGGGCAGCTATGATTTTCCTGGTGGCTCACACTGGCGTGGGGAGAAAAACCAAGGTTTTAAGTTTCAACCCAACAAGAATCCATACCAAAGTTTGCTTAGTGGGGTGCCCTGGTGCAAAACAAATAGATGGGGCTGCCTATGTTATAACCAACACATCATGATGGTTGTTCACTTGACTCAAGAATACCTTAGTGAAAAGACGTCTGCTTCAAATCGATTCAGCCATGAGATGTGTACACAGTGTACACGTCATCCTGGCAGTGCATGTCTCCTACGGCTTGGACCAGTTTGTTCGTCTGAAGTCTATGACACCTTTCGAGAAGACTGGTCGCACTGGTTGCATCTCTACGTCAATCAAAGTCTGCTATGAATGCACGCGAGAGTTGAATGACACTGCGGACCTTCCGCAACCGCAACTCTTCAGCTTTCGTGTGGACTGTCGAGGTGCCAAGGGAGACTTCCAAAACTTGACACTGTTTGATTCCAATTCGGTCTGTGCTCACCTGACCTACCGGAAGTATGGCAACAGCTCTGCGAGGCCCACCTCCCAATGGCTTCCCTTGATTTCTGATCGCATCGTGACGATGGAGAAGGGGGACGTGTTGGACTTTCAGTGTGTGCTCCGGAGCTTAGAAATTTACACCGGCCTGGAACGAAATTTACCCGAAAACGCGCTGGAGCAGAGAGATTTCGCTGGTTTACCCTTCGCCTTCACCCCGAAATTCAGTATGATTTTGGACGGAGGGGCCCAGATCTTAGTCTACACGCCGCTGATGGTTGAGCTGTTCTGCCGCCTTGGGCACTGTAAGCCTTGCACCCGATCCTTGTCCGAGGCGTATGAGTGGAAAATGAAGGTGTCTAAGTCGAAGGGCCTGACCTATTGGGTCAGCTATGGCAGTCCGGTGTTGCAGCCGCAGATCCTGCCTGAGGTGGAATTTTCGTCTGAACTTCGAGGGGAGGTCTACAGACTGGACAAAGATCTCGTGCATGTGACGGTGATGGAAGCCACCAGTTACAACTCTTGGAAGAAGCCTCAGGCCATGGCAATTGTCGAAATCACATTGGAGCTGCTTTTGGCGGGGCATTTCTGGGATGGTTTATGGATTAGCCTCCAGTAATCTAAAAGGTTGCAAGGGACCTTTGCCCATTTACTTCGTTGAATTACCTGCTTTTAGAGTGGTGATTTTCGGTCGCACGCTTCCCAGGATACCCAGAAGAAGTTGGTGGAGCTAGATGACAACTTTTATGGCGATGGTGCAGAAAACGACCACAGCTTTTCGGTGGACTTTAAGTTGCGAGTGAATCCCGACTTGCTTCGGAGTGATACCAAAGATGTGGTGGTCAGATTGAGACTGGGACTGGGAATCTGGTTTGAGGAAACGCCTAGCTACTTCAATGTGACCCTTCCCACAAATCGAGATGAAAGTTCATCAAACTGGTGGCGTTGGTTGACGCTTATTCTGTTGCTCTTGACGTTTCTGGCTGCCATAGCATATGTCTTCCGGGAGCAACTCTTCATGTCAGAGGCGTTTCAGATTCTTTGGAGGCGGTCTGCCGGGCTTCCTAGTGACGAGACCGGCGTCTCAATTGAGATGCAAAGTTGATCGCTCCGGAAGAAACAACGGCTCAACCAGGTTTTTTTAGACCCAAATAGGGAAGTTTTCTGCAACACAGGCTTATTTTGTAATTCCTACACTACTTTCTGTTTGGACGCGTTTCAATTTGTTTGTTTGGGAACATTTGCAGGAAACCAGCGTTTTTACACCAAAATAGGGAGTTCCTGCAATTTCTTCATTGAATGCTCGGATCAGTCCCCACCATCCACCTTCGCCAAGGGTTCCAACCCCGGCAAGTGGCGCCGTAAGTGGGCAATACCAAACATTCCTGTGGCTTGGGAAAAACTTGGATTATAGTAGCCGTCGTCACCGCCAAAAGATAGCACTACCTTCATTTTAGTAGGATCTTACTTTTCTATCTGGGGGTTGCTATGAAGTCAAAGGATTGCTGAGGGTCGTGGTGGCATTTCTCCAGTGATGCTTTCTTGTGGGAAAAGGCTCGGTTGAATTGCTGGTCGTATCAAGTCATATCATATGGGGATGGGTCAAAACCTACTACTACTAATGAAGGGGGAACATCCATGAGCCAGCTGTGACTTGGGTACCATCCGGGTACCAGGTGTTTGACCCATCACCATATCCCTCACTAGTTATTAGTCACATTCCCATGACTGTTGCAGGCCTGCCTGATTGCCCCACTGAAGGGACAACTTACAGGACATCATGGCAATTTTCAGAGGGATAATATGATTCATCCATGGATGTAGGGGTACCATATTTTCAGACAAACCAACAGCATTTTTCCCCAACAGCGTAGAGCTAATGGGGTCTTCAGCCCAGAATAGCTCCGGTGTGCACTGGTGCAGGCGCCGGGTCAAGTTCAACGAGGTTCCGAAGAAGGTTCCGAAGGTTCCGGAGGAGGTCTGGGCGGTTTTGGTGCAGAGCCAGGTCAGGTTCAACAGGGTGGAGGCTTTGGTGCAGAGTTCCGGAGAAGGTTCCAGAATTTCCAGAGAAGGTTCCACGAAGCCTTGGTGCAAAGCCAAGTCAGGTTCAACAGGGTTCCGGAGAAGGTTCCGGAGAAGGTCGGGGAGGTTTCGGTGCAGAGCCAGGTCAGGTTCAACAGGATTTGCGGCCATTTAATTCACGGAAACCCAGCTGAGGTGTTTCCAGCGCTTGGCTTCGCAGCACGCTTCAGAAAGATTTGAAAAAAATAAAACATTGCGGCTGTTGGGGATAGCACCGAAGCTTATTCCCCAACAGCGTAGAGCTAATGGGGTCTTCAGCCCAGAATAGCTCCGGTGTGCACTGGTGCAGGCGCCGGGTCAAGTTCAACGAGGTTCCGAAGAAGGTTCCGAAGGTTCCGGAGAAGGTCTGGGAGGCTTCGGTGCAGAGCCAGGTCAGGTTCAACAGGATTTGAGGCCATTTAAGTCACGGAAACCCAGCTGAGGTGTTTCCAGCGCTTGGCTTCGCAGCATGCTTCAGAAAGATTTGAAAAAATCACCGAAGCTTATTCCCCAACAGCGTAAAGCTAACGGAGTCTTCAGCCCGGTGTGCACTGGTATAGGCGCCGGGTCAGGTTCAACGAGGTTCCGGAAAAAAATCCGCAGGTTGGGAGGCTTTAGTACAAAGCCAGGTCAGGTTCAATAAATTTCCGGAAAAGGGGTTCCGGGAAATCAATAAAATTAATATTTCTATAAAATATTATAAAATATTCAAAATATACTTATATAAATATATCACGAAAGGTAGCTCCAGAGGGGCTACCTTGAGTTTTACTTTACGAAGTAAAGGGGAGGGCGGCCAGCCCCGTTACCTGATTCTTCAGGAGATTGCTAGTCATTTTAGTACCCCCCCCCCTCCTCCACACCTCCCACGCACCCTAAGAGCAGACTCAAAATACTGTAATTTACAGTATTTTTGTTCTTTTCGGATCAAGAAACCACATTTTGCTACATGGTGAAACCTCCGTAAATACCAGTGTTTTTGCTAGGTGCTGGCCAAAAAACACTGTAAATACCGTGCTTTTTACTACCAGAGGCAAAAAACATCGTAAATACCGTGGTTTTAGGCTTCCGACCCGCCAAAAACATTGGTATTTACGGTGTTTTTTGCTCCGAGCGATGCAAAAACACGCGAAAACACCACCGATTTGACGATTTTCGGCCACTACGGAACCGAGCAAAAACGCTGCAGGGGTAACACCAACACCGACAAGAACAACACCAACAGCAACAGCAACAGCAACAACAACAACAACGACGACAACGACAACAACAACAACAACACCAACGCACAACGCACAACGCACAACGCACAAAGCACAACGCACAACGCACAACGCACAACGCACAACGCACAACGCACATCACACAACACACAAAACACACACAACACACACAACACACACAACACACACACAACACGCAACACACAACACACAACACACAACACACAACACACACACAACACACATACAACACACACAACACACACACACAACACACACAACACACGCAACACACGCAACACACACAACACACACACACACAACACACACAACACACACACAATACACACACACACAACACACACAACACACACAACACACACACAACACACAACAACACACAACAACACACCACAACACACCACAACGCACAACAACACACAACAACACACAACAACCACAACAACCACAACAGCCACAACAACCACAACAACCACAACAACTACAACAACAACGAATGACAACCATAACAACAACAACACACAACAACACACAACAACACACAACAAAACACAACAACACACAACAACAAACAACAACACACAACAACACACAACAACACACAACAACACACAACAACACACAATAACACACAACATACAACAACACACAACAACACACAACAACACACACAACAACACACAACAACACACATACACACAACAACAACACACAACAACACACCACAACACACAACAACACACAACAACACACGCAACACACAACAACACAACAACACAACAACTACACACAACAACACACAACAACACACAACAACACACACACAACAACACAAACAACACACAACAACACACCACAACACACCACAACACACACAACAACACACAACAACACACAACAACACACAACAACACACAACAACACACCACAACCCACCACAACACACAACAACACACAACAACACACAATAACACACAACAACACACAACAACACAACAACACACAACAACAACAACAACAACCACAACAACAACAACAACATCAACAACAACAACAACAACAACAACACCATCAGCAGCAGCAGCAGCAACAACAACAGAAACAACAACAACAACAACACGAACACAAACAATACCAACACCAACAACACGACCAACAACACCAACACCACCAACAAACCCAACCACACCAACAACACAAACAACACTAACAACACCAGAAACACTACCACCACCAACAACACCAACAACACCAATACCAACAACACCAACAACACCAACACCACCAGCACCACCAACCCCCACCAACACCACAACCGCCACCAACCCCAACCACATCGCCGAAGCCTTTCAGTCGCTTTTACCAGACTCCCCTTCATATTTTTGGAAAGAAACTGGCCGCGTCGCTTTTACCAGACTCCACTTTATGTTTTTTTTCCCTGCCCTCTCCCCTTCATTTTTTCTCCTTTCTTGCTTACCTACCTTTCGTGTTCCCCCTCTCAAGTTTCCATGATTTGTATTGGTCATTTTCAGGGTCTATGTTAATTTACCAGAGTAGATGATTTACCTACTGCACATTGCTATTTTCCAGTTCGCTATGTTAGTTCACCAGAGAGTAAATCTGTTGAAATAGGATAGCAATCAACCAAAATGAAGATGAAACCTATGAAACCTGCCAATCTTTATAGAGTATAGTCAGTGTTGGTTGGTGGTTCTAGGGGTTCTACCAATTGAGCCATGAACACAATTCCCTGGTTGATCAGTCAATATACTGACATATACTAGCTAATTTTTGAGGATTATGATAACCCATAGTAAGAACACCTTTTTTTGAATGTGATTTTATCACACACGGACTAGCTGTACTACTTGGCCTGCAAGCCCTGTTACAAAAAGATCAAACAACGCAGACATGTGAAATTTGCTTTGTGTTTGGTGACGATGGCAGCAGCTCCTCAGCCATACAATGCTCTACCTTGGCCAGGTGGGATGTTTTGAAACATCTTCCAACCCGGACGTTCGTCCACACTCACAATGTTTATCATCACATCATCATCATCATCGTCGTCGTCATCATCATCATCATCGTCATCATCATCATCATCGTCATCGCCATCGCCATCGCCATTGCCATCGCCATCGCCATCGTCGTCATCATCATCATCATCATCATCATCATAGCATCATAGCATCAACCTATCTTCATAAAGGTCACAAGTCCGCCACCCTCTCTGACAAATATGTTGAATGGGGTAATAACATCAACTTATCTAAATAAGGGATCACAAATTCACCACCCCTCTGAGAAATATATTGACTGGGTTTATAAAGTAATATAAAGTATATATTTTATGACATCTACATATGTACACACACATTTAAAAAAATGGAAGCACTCCCACAAGGACCCGGACTCTAAAAAATACATGTGATATATATATACATATATATATATTTATATGTATATATATACACACATATATACACATACATACATATACATGTACAAATACGAGAAGATACACATACACATATGAATATACATTTACATATACATATATATACATATACAGATACATATACATATACCTATACATTTACATATAACTATGTATATATATACACATAAATGTACATATAGATACATATTTCCTTATTTCAACATGGATCAAATATACATCTACAATTGGAAAGTCCACCGACACAGCATTTCCTAACTACGCAACCCTTCCACAATTCCTGCGGGGAGAAACGCCAGGGTTGCAGCGAACATCTTTTGCCCATCATATCTGTTTGATTCT